ATAGGGGACCATTATCTAGTCTACTTGCCCTCTGAGAACCTAGAAACACAATCAGCAATACACTAACAACGTACCAGCAATACCACCCCACTATCCAACTACACACACACACACACATGCACTCTGTCACCCCTCTGCTCAAATATTACCCTGCCCACATGAGCCTCTAAAGTAAACACACACACACACACACCACCTTTACCTGTATTAACTGACCTGTAGGTGTTAGATCCTCAGTGGGTTCTGTTCTTAATGCCTAGAGAACACAACATACCTGCTGGACCGAAGGAACACACACAGCCTTCCACGCAGTCCCAGGGAGTGTGTGTCCTCACAGCGATAAACACAAACTAAGAAACATAAGCAGATACACAAGCAGACACCACCAAACGTACAGAAAGAAACAGGGACGCAAACGCACTCACACACACAGCACTTGAACTCTCACACACACAAAAATCACACACACACACACATACACAAACACACACACTAGACAGCAGCTTAAGAGGCGTTTCCTGAGGATAACTGTCGGCTCAGAGGCTAAACCCTGGGGGCAGGATTTACATGGTGACGGGCCGAGAGCCAGTCAGAGTACTTAGAGAGCACTAGCCAATCGAGGTGCCTAGAAAGAATGTACTAAAACAGCATGGTTAGAGACAGGGGTCAAAACTCACCTGACTATTCCCTTTTGACTATCTGCACATACTTCTCTGGAATCCCTGGTGGTTGAGTATGGTTTCCATCAGGCATTACAGGTCTGGGTTGTGGCGTGACTATAAAGATGTGGCCGATCAGACCTATTAATGATCTGGTCACAGTGGAGGTAAGGGACACACATCTTATAAGGGAGTTGTTTGAGCCAGTGTCTGTGTGATTATCAGGCTTTAGAGAGAACATGCTAATCAGGCCTGACAAGGGATTACCAATCATATATTGGCTTTTAACCCTGACATATCTCCCCACCCCCTTCTCAGAGAGAGAGAGCACTGTATTAATGTTTAATTTAATATCATCTTAATGTTGGGACACCAGACCAGTCACTTGTTGTGATGGCTGACTGTAGATCTCTTGCTCTGAATCGCCATGTCCAGGCCTGGATCAAACATTGTTTTGTTTTTTACATTTTAGTCATTTAGCAGACACTCTTATCCAGAGCAACTTACAGTTAGTGAGTGCATACATTTTTCATACTTTTTTTTCATACTTTTTTCATACTGGCCCCACATGGGAATCGAACCCACAACCCTGGCGTTGCAAGCGCCATGCTCTACCAACTGAGCTACAGGAGGCCTGCCAGATACATGTCAGAGACTTTCACATACACTTAACTTGAACTTGCCCAGCATAATGGAACCAATGGAATAGTCCTGTCAAGTATCTAACATAATGACCAATGTCTGGGTTGGACATCACTGTCAGTGTTGATTTTATTACCTTCTGTTATGTCATGATGTCACCACTAGATGTCGGGCGTATAGCTGTATTCAGAGGTAACAGTCTCTCTTGCTCTCTCGCTCTCTCTCTGTCTCCTCTGTGACCTCTCCACCAGCTGGTGTTTACTCAGGAGTTTCCTTATCCTCATTAAGAGGACATTAGAATAAGTGATCTGTCTGAACCACATAACCTGTAGCAGAGGAAACTGCTGTGACAGTGTAAAGTCAGTTGTCATAAGGTGACAGCACATCTGTTGTCTTTATTGTGACGTTTTATGGAACACACAAACCGGTGTGTGATCACTGTCCGTAACAGTCTGTCTGTCAGTCCGTCTGTTCGTCCATATGTGTGTGTGTGTTTGTGTGTGTGTGTTGTGTGAGAGAGAGAGTGTGTCATCTGTCACTCCGCCCTTAATGCTCCTCTCCGTGTGGTGTTACATTGAAACAGGTCCCCAAACAAACAATCCCCACATTCCAATTGTTCCACTGGTTCCTGCAGTATCCACAGTGACACACGACACAGACCCAGACCAGAGCTGACGACCTGCATAAAGCTAGCTAGCCCAGTGGTTCATGGAGGTCTTGTCTAGGATGTGGTTATGGCTGCATGGGGTAATCAGGTAGACCCACAGCTTTCAGATAGATCAGATGCTGGTCCCTGGAGGGGTACAACTGATAACAATACTTGTGTGTCTGTCTGATCAAACACCATCACTGGAACACATATCCATAACATGTTGAAACACCCACCTCACTGAGAGCATGTGTGTGCCTGTAGCAGTATTTGGGAGCACTATGGGTTCATTCTCTTCCAGAGTATTGTCTTTACTAATGAGAGAGCGAGAGAGAGGGAGGGGGAAAGAGAGAGTGTGGGAGAGGGAGGGAGGGAAGAGTGAGAGAGAGCGCTAAAGGAGGGCAGAGAGAGAGATATGACAGAAGAAAAGTCTGCAGATCAGTCTGTTCAGGCAGAATGTTGGAGGATGCAGGGTTTCAGTACTTCAGAGAAGAAACATGATGACATGAATCACTACATTCGTTTACACCCCTCTCACACCCCCATGCACACACGAACTCACACACACACACACACCGGTCCTTGGCTCCCCTCCAGTCTAAAAGACCGAGCCAGGTTTTAGGTCAACCTGAGCAGGAATCCACAACACTCAGCTGAAGGAGGATAATGTTTTTTTTTAAAGAGGGAGAAAAGAGGGGAGGTACAAAATAAGAAAAGTGTTGTCCCAGGGGCGGGGGCAGCGGAAGTGGGTCTTTGACACTATGAACAAAATAGAATTTCCTGGGCGGATAAAAGTATGGAAAGAGGGATAGATAGACGTATAGAGAGAGGAGTAAATAGAGGTAGTCCATTTAAAGAAGGATATAGAGACCAGAGCAGAGCAAGCCCCTGAGCTGCAGAGTTATTCCACTCCAGTAATTCCCAAACTGTGTTGTGTGCTGTCTGTCTCCCACATCAAGGCTTCAGAGTTATTTGTGATCCTAAAAACAGCCCAAACAAATGTCTAGCCAAATCCTAGACACCAATTATGAAATACTTTTCTCATTGAAAATGTTTATTGGGGGGGCTACTCTAATTCTTCTGCTCTGTGCGAGTTAACCCACACAGTGCTCAGTGTTGCAACTTTTGGTATGCTCATGGTATGGCTAGAAGTTTGAGAGAGTTTACCTTCAGGAGAAGTATGTGTATGTGTGTGAGAGAGAGAGAGGGGAGAGGATTAACGGACACGCCTGGTGCCCAAATTGAGGACTTGTATGTCGTGCAGCTGAGAGCCGAGTGAAAACTAATGGATACGGTTCAGTCAGTCGTCCTGGTGAGCCCTTCCCAGCTAGCTAGTTTATGCTGGCTAGTTGGCAACGACAACAGCGGTGGCGCTAGTTTCAAGTTGTACAGGATACACATGGTATACACGTCCAACGAAATGCTTACTTGCAGGTTACATATTCGAAAAGGTCCATTATCACACAATTTTGATCACAACGCATTTCGTGTGTATTACACGATATTCTTTCTTAATAACGCATTCGTGTACATTACAGAAATTCCCATTTGTTGTGGCTAATGTTAGCTAGGCTAGCTAGGTGGTTAAAATGAAAGTTATTGTTAAGGGTTAAGATTAGGGTTAGGTAACATGCTAGCTAAGTAGTTAAAGGGTTAAGGTTATGAGTTAGGTTAAAGAGTTAAGGTTAGGGGAAGGGTTAGCTAAAATGCAAAGTAGTTGCAAAGTAGCAAAAAAGTAGTAAGTAGCAAAGTTGCTAATTAGCTAAAATTGTTTGTGATGAGATTCAAACACGCAACCTTTGGGTTGCTAGACGTTCACATTCGAACACGCAACCTTTGGGTTGCTAGACGTTCGCGTTATACGCCCACCCATCCTCCGACCAACCTCCCTCCTATTGTTTCTGTTTTAAGTAATCTACTGTCTTTATCTGTGATTGAAATTCACTGTTTACTGCACACAAAGAAATACACTTTTTCGTGTGCCTGTCACGAATTTCCAATAATTTCACAATAATCTGTGATACTGGGTTGACAGTCTACCCACTGGGCACACACTGGTTGAATCGACATTGTTTCCACATTGAAATTACGTTGAACCAATGTGGAATAGACGTTGAATTTACGTCTGTGCCCAGTGGGTAGGCCTACTGGCTACTGCTGCTCAATGGGTAGAGTTTGCGCTGCCGGAAACACAACAACAAGGGGCACAGTGTGTCCTTAGGCCTGTGTCCTGCTTGCTGAGCACTGCTGTCCTACAGTAACTTAGAGGGAAGTACCCACTGGGCAAAAACTGGTTGAATCAACGTTGTTTCCACGTCATTTCAACAACCAAAAAAAATGTGATGACCTTGAACCAATGTGGAAAACTGATTGGATTTGAAAAAAATCATCAATTTAAGGGAGTTTCATCTTATTTTCTCCCAACTTTTAACCTACATCCAATGACATGGTGACTTTTCTGTTGTTGAATTCATGTTGAATTCACATTTGTTGCTTTTGTAGTCTGGTAAAAAGTGCATGAGTCACAACTTCGGCAGACAAGTTTTTAAATTCTAGACTCAAGCATAAACTAGTAATACTACCTAGCTGTGGAGGGCTCATTAGGACGTCTGACGAAACTGATTAAACCGAATCCGTTCGTCCCCACTCAACTCTCGCTGCCCGACATACTTCAAAAATGTTGGGCACCAGGCGTGTCCATATAGCCTCCGCTGAGATAGAGATCCTGCCTGCATCCAGATGTTTCGTGTTTCTGTGACGCGCATCGCTCGGTGACATCAGGGAAGAGGAGTTGAAGTCTAGGGGGACGCAGTTTAGAGAGACCGTGTTGGAATAAGGACATAACTTGTTTGCGCTTCTTTGTTTGTCAAATTAACGTCTCAAATGAACGGTTTTGAATGTCAAATTATCGCATTTAACTAGGCTATTTAAACTCATTGTCACTACTATGGAGTAACTTTTCGTGCGGATTTGAGGCGCGCAAAGTGTAAACTGAAGAGGAACTTTCTTTCTGCGGGTGTTCACACACTCTCACAACCAGCTGTGGGGGAATGGAGGTCCGCTGGCTGAAGACCCTGCTGTGTGTGTTGTTGAGTGTTTGTTCGTCCCTTCGAGCCCACCCTATAGATCATGATGACCATGAGAACGGTATGTGTATTCGATATTGGCGCCCGCAAAACTGGTTCTCAGAACAATGGTTAGGTTGCACTTTGTGTGTGTTTGTGTGTGCGTGTGTGTGACATGATTTGATGATCAGATTAAAAGTATGCCTGCCAGCATCTGTTTGTCATTGTATCACATTAATCAGTGACTGTGTTGAAATGTTAGACTACTTTTTGCATTAATTTAGGATCAGTGACATCGTAGGAACATTGACACTGGGTGTAGGCTGCACAGTCTCTATCTCCACCTCTCTGTCCCGATCTGGCACCACAGGGTCAAAAGTGATCTCGTGACCTGGTCAGGTAAATCTCTGGGTCCTATTCGTAGTCTATGAAAAAATAGTATTATTATAAATAGCTCCCTTTTTCATCTGTGCTATGACTATAGGGCAGGGCTTTTTCTTGTCGGGTCATATGAATTGTAAACACTCCTGGCCTAAGGTGGATGAAACCCTTTCAAACTACCACAAACCATGTTATTATTCATTCTGAATCTGATATCAAAAGAGCCAGAGACAACCACTTCAATGGACAACATACAGTACTGTGTAGTTTAGTGAACTACTATAGCATGGCTGAATGTTATGCAAAGAATGGTTACAATGTCACATTAACTCTATACATACACAATGTTAAGCAGTGGATTTGAAAAATAAAAAAGACAGACAGGTTTCAATGTAGAAAAGTCATCTAATTTTATGTCAGAAAACCTATTATTTGTTCATCTGACCACAGTGCTCTTCTACAATTATTAATTATGTAAGCTTTATGTGAGGCAGGGTTACATGTAACACTATACACAGTGGACATTGTAACAAGGCAGGGTTACATTTAACACTATACACTATGTGCACGTCATAAAACCACTAACCATGTGTTGTTGTGCTGGTCTCCATTTGGCCACATATTATCCATTATATTGACCAGATACTCTAGTGGTCACTCTAACAATGAAAATATATAGGCAGTCGGGAGGGGGAAAGATCAGGTGGGACCATTTTAGCTAATGTGTCCTATTTACAGTGCATTCGGAAAGTATTCAGACCCCTTGACTTTTTCAACATTTTGTTACATCACAGCCTTATTCTAAAATGTATTAAATCGTTTTTCCCCCTCATCAATCTACACACAATACCCCATAATGACAAAGCAAAAACTGGTTTTTAGAAACTTTTGCAAATTTATTAAAAATAAAAAACGGAAATATCACATTTACATAAGTATTCAGACCCTTTACTCAGTACTTTGTTGAAGCACCTTTGGCAGCGATTACAGCCTTGATTCTTCTTGGGTATGACGCTACAAGCTTGGCACACCTGTATTTGGGGAGTTTCTTCCATTCTTATCTGTAGATCCCCTCAAGCTCTGTCAAGTTGGATGGGGAGCATTGCTGCACAGCTATTTTCAGGTCTCTCCAGAGATCTATCAGGTTCAAGTCCGGGCTCTGGCTGGGCCATTCAAGGACATTCAGAGACTTGTCCCTAAGCCACTCCTGCATTGTCTTGGCTGTGTGCTTAGGGTTGTTGTCCTGTTGGAAGGTGAACCTTCGCCCCAGTCTGAGGTCCTGAGCGCTCTGGAGCAGGTTTTCATCAAGGATCTCTCTGTACTTTGCTCCGTTCATCTTTCCCTCGATCCTGACTAGTGTCCCAGTCCCTGCCGCTGAAAAACATCCCCACAGCATGATGCTGCCACCACTATGCTTCACCGTAGGGATGGTGCCAGGTTTCCTCCAGACGTGACGCTTGGCATTCAGGCCAAAGAGTTCAATCTTGGTTTCATCAGACCAGAGAATCTTGTTTCTCATGGTCTGAGAGTCCTTTAGGTGCCTTTTGGCGAACTCCAAGCAGGCTGTCATGTGCCTTTTACTGAGGAGTGGCTTCCGTCTGGCCACTCTACCATAAAGGCCTGATTGGTGGAGTGCTGCAGAGATGGTTGTCCTTCTGGAAGGTTCTCCCATCTCCACAGAGGAACTCTGGAGCTCTGTTAGAGTGACCATATGGTTCTTGGTCACCTCCCTGACCAAGGCCCTTCTTCTTTGATTGCTCAGTTTGGCCAGCGGCCAGCTCTAGGAAGAGTCTTGGTGGTTCCAAACGTCTTCCATTTTAGAATGATGGAGGCCACTGTGTTCTTGGGGACCTTCTATGTTGCAGACATTTTTTGGTACCCTTCCCAGATCTGTGCCTTGACACAATCCTGTGTCGGAGCTCTATGGACAATTCCGTCGACCTCATGGCTTGGTTTTTGCTCTGACATGCACAGTCAACTGTGGGACCTTATATAGACAGGTGTGTGCCTTTCCAAATCATGTCCAATCAATTGAATTTACCACAGGTGCACTCCAAACAAGTTATAGAAACATCTCAAGGATGATCAATGGAAACAGGAAGCACCTGAGCTCAATTTCGAGTCTTATAGCAAAGACTCGAGTCTAATAGCAAAGTCTGAATACAGTGAGGGAAAAAAGTATTTGATCCCCTGCTGATTTTGTACGTTTGCCCACTGACAAAGAAATGATCAGTCTATAATTTTAATGGTAGGTTTATTTGAACAGTGAGAGACAAGAACAACAAAAAAATCCAGAAAAACGCATGTCAAAAATGTTATAAATTGATTTGCATTTTAATGAGGGAAATAAGTATTTGACCCCCTCTCAATCAGAAAGATTTCTGGCTCCCAGGTGTCTTTTATACAGGTAACGAGGTGAGATTAGGAGCACACTCTTAAAGGGATTGCTCCTAATCTCAGTTTGTTACCTGTATAAAAGACACCTGTCCACAGAAGCAATCAATCAATCAGATTCTAAACTCTCCACCATGGCCAAGACCAAAGAGCTCTCCAAGGATGTCAGGGACAAGATTGTAGACCTACACAAGGCTGGAATGGGCTACAAGACCATCGCCAAGCAGCTTGGTGAGAAGGTGACAACAGTTGATGCGATTATTCGCAAATGGAAAAAACACAAAAGAACTGTCAATCTCCCTCGGCCTGGGGCTCCATGCAAGATCTCACCTCGTGGAGTTGCAATGATCATGAGAACGGTGAGGAATCAGCCCAGAACTACAAGTACTAAGTAATTTTTTGCAGAGGGGTCAAATACTTATTTCCCTAATTCAAATGCAAATCAATTTATAACATTTTTGACATGCGTTTCATGTTCGTATTTTGATTGGCTCGCTTGCTGATCTGTCTGTCAGTTCTGATTCATTGTCTTGTCTGTCCCTCAGTGATTGACCTACTGGAGGCTCTCAACATGTCCCGCCCCTTAAAGGGTGTATCCAAAGTCCAGGGGGAGTGGCCTGGAACCCAGGCCTACAAACTCCGCCCCCGCTCACCTCACCTGACCCTTCCCAAACAATACTCCAACTACCTTGTTTCCTCTCTGCAAGGCAGTCTGGGAATTCACCTGGTGGGACGTCAGGGCGCAGACTCCAGTGGCACTCTGCTCTCTTTCTCCTCCTCCTCCTCTTTCCTCGCCCCTCCTCCAACTCTACTCCTCTACCCGCTCCAAATCTCTGCGTCTGGACCACCAGGCTGGCTCGGGAGGCCAGGGGCTTGCCAGCGTACTGTTCCCAGGAGGAAGTCCCTTCTCTGGGGGAGGCTGGGTGCGGTTGGCCCTGAACCTGGAAGCTGGCCATGTGTCTCTGTTTGTGGACTGTAGAGAGGCGGTGGTTATACAGAGAGACAAAGAGGAGAGAGTCAAACTACAGCTGCCCCCAGACCTAGTCATCACACTGGCCAGCACACAGGGTGACATGGAGAGCAAGTTCACTGTGAGTAAACACACTCACATACACATATTCACACGTACACACATGCAAGTATGCACTCCATAACGGTTTCTCTTTCTCTCTCTCTCTCTCTCTCACTCGCTCTCTCTCTCTCTCTCTCTCCCCCCCCCCCCCCCCCCCTTCTATCTCTCCATCACTCTCTCTTTATAGGGTTATGTGCAGACAGCTGAGATCTCTACCAGAGCGTATCAGAGGCGTCCGTGGCACTGTGACAACATTACAGGTAAAGGATTTTTAACCTGGCTATTGGTTTTATGGCTACTTTGCCATAAAGGCAAGTCCATGTCATTCTCTACGAATGAGGAACTGAGTATACTAATCTACAGTGCATTCGGAAAGTATTCAGACCCCTTGACTTTTTCCACATTTTGTTACGTTACAGCCTTATTCTAAAATGGATTAAATAAAAAATGTCCTCACAATACCCCATAATGACAAAGCAAAAACAGGTTTTTAGACATTTTAGCAAATGTATTACAAATAAAAAACAGAAATACCTTATTTACATAAGTATTCAGACCCTTTGCTATGTGACTCGAAATTGAGCTCAGTTGGATCCTGTTTCCATTGATCATCCTTGAGATGTTTCTACAACTTGATTGGAGTCCACCTGTGGTACATTCAATTGATTAGACATGATTTGGAAAGGCACACACCTATCTATACAATGCATTCGGAAAGTATTCAGACTCCTTCACTTTTTCTAAATTTTGTTACGTTACAGCCTTATTCTACAATTGATTCAATAGCTTTTTCCCTCATCAATCTACACACAATACCACATAATGACAAAGCAAAAATAGCTAATTTATTAAAAATATGAAGCTTAAATATCACATTTACATAAATATTCAGACCCTTTACTTAGTACTTTGTTGAAGCACCTTTGGCAGCGATTACGGCCTCGAATCTTTTTGGGTATGATGCTACAAGCTTGGCACACCTGTATTTGGTGAGTTTCACCCATTCTTCTCTGCAGATCCTTTCAAAATCTGTCAGGTTGGATGGGGAGCGTCGCGGCACAGCTATTTTTAGGTCTCTCCAGAGATGTTAGATCAGGTTAAAGTCCGGGCTCTGGCTGAGCCACTCAAGGACATTCAGAGACTTGTCCCGAAGCCACTCCTGCGTTGTCTTGGCTGTGTGCTTAGGGTCGTTGTCCTATTGGAAGGTGAACCTTCGCCCCAGTCTGAGGTCCTGAGCGCTCTGGAGCAGGTTTTCATCAAGGATCTCTCTCTGTACTTTGCTCTGTTCATCTTTCCTTCGATCCTGACTAGTCTCCCAGTCCCTGCCGCTTAAAACATCCCCACAGCATGATGCTGCCACCACCATGCTTCACCGTAGGGATGGTGCCAGGTTTCCTCCAGACGTGACGCTTGGCATTCAGGCCAAAGAGTTCAATCTTGGTTTCATCATTTACATTTTTACATTTTCGTCATTTAGCAGACGCTCTTATCCAGAGCGACTTACAAATTGGTGCATTCACCTTATGATAGCCAGTGGGACAACCACTTTACAATATATCAATTTTGATTATTATAAAAAAAATGTTGGGGGGGTGGGGTAGGGGGAGGGTAGAAGGATTACTTTTATCCTATCCCAGGTATTCCTTAAAGAGGTGGGGTTTCAAGTGTCTCCGGAAGGTGGTGAGTGACTCCGCTGTCCTGACATCGTGAGGGAGCTTGTTCCACCATTGGGGTGCCAGAGCAGCGAACAGTTTTGACTGGGCTGAGCGGGAACTGTGCTTCCGCAGAGGTAAGGGGGCCAGCAGGCCAGAGGTGGATGAACGCAATGCCCTCATTTGGGTGTAGGGACTGATCAGAGCCTGAAGGTACGGAGGTGCCGTTCCCCTCACAGCTCCGTAGGCAAGCACCATGGTCTTGTAGCAGATGCGGGCTTCAACTGGAAGCCAGTGGAGTGTGCGGAGGAGCGAGGTGATGTGAGAGAACTTGGGAAGGTTGAACACCAGACGGGCTGCAACGTTCTGGATGAGTTGTAGGGGTTTAATGGCACAGGCAGGGAGCCCAGCCAACAGTGAGTTGCAGTAATCCAGACGGGAGATGACAAGTGCCTGGATTAGGACCTGTGCCGCTTCCTGTGTAAGGTAGGGTCGTACTCTGCGAATGTTGTAGAGTATGAACCTACAGGATCGGGTCACCGCTTTGATGTTAGCGGAGAACGACAGGGTGTTGTCCAGGGTCACGCCAAGGTTCTTTGCACTCTGGGAGGAGGACACAATGGAGTTGTCAACCATGATGGCGAGATCATGGAGCGGGCAGTCCTTCCCCGGGAGGAAGAGCAGCTCCGTCTTGCCGAGGTTCAGCTTGAGGTGGTGATCCGTCATCCACACTGATATGTCTGCCAGACATGCAGAGATGTGATTTGCCACCTGGTTATCAGAAGGGGGAAAGGAGAAGATTAATTGTGTGTCATCTGCGTAGCAATGATAGGAGAGACCATGTGAGGATATGACAGAGCCAAGTGACTTGGTGTATAGAGAGAATAGGAGAGGGCCTAGAACTGAGCCCTGGGGGACACCAGTGGTGAGGGCACGTGGTGCGGAGACAGATTCTCGCCACGCCACCTGGTAGGAGCGACCTGTGAGGTAGGACACAATCCAAGAGTGAGCCGTGCCGGAGATGCCCAACTCGGAGAGGGTGGAGAGGAGGATCTGATGGTTCACAGTATCAAAGGCAGCAGATAGGTCTAGAAGGATGAGAGCAGAGGAGAGAGAGTTAGCTTTAGCAGTGCGGAGAGCCTTCGTGACACAGAGAAGAGCAGTCTCAGTTGAATGACCAGTCTTGAAACCTGACTGGTATGGATCAAGAAGGTCATTCTGAGAGAGATAGCAAGAGAGTTGGCTAAAGACTGCACGCTCAAGAGTTTTGGAGAGAAAAGAAAGAAGGGATACTGGTCTGTTGTTGACATCGGAGGGATTGAGTGTAGGTATTTTGAGAATGGGTGCAACTCTCGCTCTCTTGAAGACGGAAGGGACATAGCCAGTGGTCAAGGATGAGTTGATGAGCGAGGTGAGGTAAGGGAGAAGGTCTCCGGAAATGGTCTGGAGAAGAGAGGAGGGGATAGGGTCAAGCGAAAAGGTTGTTGAGCGGCAGGCCGTCACAAGTCGCAAGATTTCATCTGGAGAGAGAGAATCTTGTTTCTCATGGTCTTAGAGTTCTTTAGGTGCCTTTTGGCAAACTCCAAGCAGGCTGTCATGTGCCTTTTACTGAGGAGTGGCTTCTTCTGGCCACTCTACCATAATGGCGTGATTTGTGGAGTGCTGCGGAGATGGTTGTCCTTCTGGAAGGTTCTCCCATCTCCACAGAGGAACTCTGGAGCTCTGTCAGAGTGACCATCGGGTTCTTGGTCACTTCCCTGAACATGTTCGGTCCCCTCAAGGATAGTAAAAAATATGTTGTGTTTGTGCATGTGTGCTCGTGTGTGTGGCCGCTTGTGCGTGCTCGTGCGTGTGTATGCTCTCTGGACTCTGGGGACTAGTGTAGATATTATCTGTGATCGCCCGGCTACTTCCTATATGTTGTTTATTTATGAGTTCTAAGTTTAGAGTCTGACTGTTAATTCACATTTTCAGACTGATTAACTCTGTTTTTGTATTAGATCAACTGATTACTGGCTTCCTCCTCTCCCTCCGTCTTTCACTCCCCCCCCCCCCCCCCCCCCCCCCCCGCTCACTCTCTTTCTCGCTGTTCTTCTCCTCTCACCCTTCCCCTCTTTCTCAGATTCTCTGCCCAGCCCTCCCCGTGCCCAGCTTAATAGCTCTGCTCCAGTAGACAGTGTTGACAGTGGACCTGGGCTGGAACCTCAGCAGGATATAGCCAACGACCAGCCACATAACCCCTCTCCCCACCCCCATCATCCCCAGGGCGACCAGCCCCAGAGAGGTGGGGTGCTTCTGGGTCCTCCAGCAACCCAGGGGGTGAAACCTGTCTCTCAGACCCAGGGCGAGGATAGGCTGAGGGGGTTGGAGGAGAGGCTAGAAGGCCTGGAGCGCATGCTGGACATGGTCAAGGCCCAGGTAGCCACAGCAAAGTCATGTATTATAATGTGATGTTTATTTAAAGATTTCAATGGACAATTGAGGTATACTCATCATTATCCACGCAAGACTGACGATTGACTATGTATTTTTGTGTGTGTGTGTGTCTGTGTGTGTGTAGAATGTGGACCTTCAGGCTCGTGTGCAGTATCTGGAGGGGTGTGAGTGTGTGAGGCGTGGGTGTGTGTGGGAGGGGAGACAGGTGGAGGAGGGGCATCGCTGGGAGACGCACCGGAACACGTTCTGTACCTGCACCTCTGGACAGGTCACCTGCTCTGCTTCTACTGACGGTAGGTACCGTACTGCACACACACAAACACAGGCACACCAGTGTTTCCCACTAGTATTTTTTCCAGAAGCGGTGGCAAAGTTAGTGTGGGGGGAGTGGGGAATCAACACATTTTGCCATGGGGCAGAGATACATTTTCACAGTTGTAATGCTAGTTTCCTGCAATTCTACAGATTTTGTCATAGGGCTGAGAGAAGAAAATGCTGTTTTAAAGCTAATTTCCTGCAATTCTACACATTTTGCCATGGTTTCACACTGGGCACAGATGTCAATTCAACGTATTTCCACGTTGGTTCAACGTCATTTCATTGAAATGACGTGGAAACAACGTTGATTCAACCAGTGTGTGCCCTGTGGATTTTGCCATGTTATTATGCTATCTGAGTCACTCAAACATATAACTAAATCAATGCCATGACATTTTTTGAATTTTAAATTCTCCCTGGCTGTCTAGTTTTTATTTTGGTGATTATTATTCTCAAAGATGATCTTATTTAAAAATATATAGCTCCATGATATTTTCTACGTACAGTACTTTATATCTGGTTTTAGGATCATATTTTTTGGGAGTGGTGGCAACGATTTATGAGTATAGGGGAAACACTGTGCACGCACACACACATTCACACACATGCACAAGACACAACCAACACTCACCCACACAAGCATCCAAGGTGTGAAACAAACAGAGGCATTCATTGCTGCCCCCCCCAGAATCCCGCCCCTGTCGTAATGGGGGTGTGTGTGTCTCTTTGACCTCTGACCTTGCTGGGTTCCGCTGCCTCTGCCCCCCCTATACCACCGGGACATACTGTGAAACACAGCTGACACAGGTACTACCACATAGAATAGACATTTAAACTATTCTAGATTAGTGTATTAGATTAAACTAAACTTTACCATACTAGTGGAGTGTGTTGGTGTGATTCTTGTGTGATCCTTGTGGCTGCTTGGTTTATCTGACAGGTCAGAAGAACATTTGACAGGCTTGAGGTGGGTCAGAACTCTGACAGGTTTGGACACCACTTTATAGAGTTTTGTGTTTTCTAGAGTTGTGTGTGTTGTAGAGTTTTGCTGTGTCCTGCAGAGCTGTGCGTTTTCTAGAGTTGTGGGTGTGTGTGTACTGTAGAGCAGCGATTCCCAACTTTTTCCTTTCTGGGGAAATCACTGTCAAAAGCGCTTGAGGACCACCATTCACAGAGTCGCGATTTTTATTAAACATAAAATATCTTAGCAGTCAAATTTAGAGTTCATTTTTACAGCGAATGTAACAGATTAAATGCCTATTATTACAGATGGATGTTTGTTAAAGAATTTGCATTGTGATAAGTAATGTAAAATTGTTTATAACATCATTATGTTATTATTTTTGGAAGAAAAACTAATTAAAACAATTGCGGCCCACCTGCAGTACCCCCGCAGACCACACGTTAAAAACCACTGCTGTAGAGTTGTGTTGTAGAGTTGCTTGTGTAATGCAGAGCTGTGTTTTCTAGAGTTTTGCATTGCTGAGTAGTTAATGTTGTAGATTTTTCCTGAGATGTAAATAGCGTGTAGTGATCTGCTGTGGGGTAGTGCTGTGTAAGAGCTAGAGCTGTGTTGGTAAACAATCTGGGTTGAGTTTCCCAAAAGCTTCATAGCTAAAGTGGTACTTTTCTCTCAAGGACTGAGACCCAAGTTACTCTGAAAGCCGATTTATGGTCTATCCGAGGTCTGCAGTGGCCATACAACATTTACAGCTATGCGGCCTCCGCAGAAGTTAGAGCATTCATACTTCTTACTCTTCGGGGAGCTGTCATACGCATCCAATAAATTGGTCTGCACCGCACCATTCGTAGTGATTCAGGGCTAATCTCTATAGCCATCCAGCTAATTACGAGCAACTGGCTAAATGAAAAGACAAGACCGTACCTCTTCTGAGATGTTGGAGTCCGTGTCCCGGTGCTTGACATAGGTTGCCCAGCCAAGATAGCATGGAGGTAAAAAGGCTGCACAGTTTTCCCACCTGCATCTCCATCCCAAATCTTCCAATTGCCCCCCAGCAAAATTAGCATAGATTTAGGCTATTGTTTATATGTGTATTTCACACTATGTTGAGGTAAAAATTGTATAATGCTTGTATGGATGTCAACCCCAATACATGTTCATGTCATCGTTATCAATCAGCTGCATTACAGTTAAAAACAACTTTGACTACCACTTTTTCTAAACCTGAAAAGGGACAACATCTAAATGTTATGGAGCGAAAACACCCAAATATATCCAAATGGGATTTTAGTAACCATATTATGGCCCTGTTACAATACATCAATCATGACGGATTTGACAAATATCCAATTTGTTAGATCAAATTTGTTGAATGTGCGCCAATCCAGCAGCCTTCTATCCCCCACTATCTGCATTCCATTGACCTCTTTACCGCATCTAGCCGCATTACCTCCCCAATCTCTTTCCAGGAGTTCAAACTCATTTTCGTGTCTTTGAAATCCCTACACGATTTCAAAGACACAAAATATGTATTTTATTTGTGAACTTGTTCTTATCAGTGGTGAGGGGAGGATGGCTCATAATAATGGCTGGAACAGAGTTCTCCATGTTTGTTCAAAGTTCTCCATGTTTGTTGTCAAGGAAGGTGTCAAGGAAGTGAGTTTGTGTTTATATAGGATGTACCATCCCCACCTACCATCAACCAATCATTTCAATGCGGAGCTATACGGTGCTATGTGGAGCCCTCTGCATTGTTACAACATTTGGGAGGCGCACGGCATCGCCGTACGGAGCTCGATTTGGCCTCCGTAAGCCTCTGGATGCTTCGCAATTGCGTCACACCCGCCTTATGGAAACCTCCGGACCGCAGTCCGGATCAAGCATAAATTGGCTTTTAAACAAAGTGCTTCATTCATTGTCAAAAATACATTTCGCAATTGTTACTCTCTCACGCCTGGTGCGGCTAGGTTGTTGAGAGAAAAACTTAACGTTAGCTATGAGGCTTTCCGGAAACTCACCCCTGCTTTGTAGTACTTCATGCCTAACATTAGACTAGCATTGTCCTGATGTTTAATGGAGAATGCTGCACTGGGTTAGGGAGGGTAAGAGGCACTGTGTGTGTGATTGTGTGTGTGTGTGTGTGTGTGTGTAGGCATGCTGGCAGCCCCGTCCAGAGGGCAGCTGTAGAGGTCAGAGTTCACCTCAGCGTCGCTGGTTCTTCAGCCCTGCCCACGGCCGCTGTGACCACTTCCTGTTCTGCACAGGAAACAGCAACAACAACTTCCTCTCCCTCGAGGCTTGCCAGGAGCAGTGCATGATGGGAGCCTGCTGCTTCCGCCTGCCCAAACCGAGTCCTCTCATTGGCTACGACAGCCAGGGCAACGGTCGCCAGGGAGATAACACAACCTCTGACCAGGAGCAGAGTGGGAGGGGCCAAAAGGAGGATGAGGCGTGGTTTGGAGAAATAACTGACAAGAGGACATTGGAGGAGGACGGATCTGAGCACTTTGGTTACCAGTGGATCAACCTGACCAAGCCAGACCAGCAGAGAGAAAGAAAGGAGGAGAGAGGGAGAGAGAAAAATGCTAGTGGGTTTGACTCTAGAGGGATGGATACTGATTTCACCTACAGCTGTGAGTACCTGTCTGTGTCGGCCTGTCAGGCCAGGGTCAGGGACCTCCACGGAGAGGGAGAGGCTGTGAGTTTCTCTCCCGGCCAGCGCTGCTCTGATGTGGACTGCGGCCACGCCGGTGGCTGCCTCTACCATAGCCTGCCACAGAGCTACGGGGAGAGGTTCAGGCATGGCTGTGAAGAGTGTTTGTGTAATCAAAGCGGAGCGGTGCAGTGTGGGTGTAGTCAACTGACACAGCGGAAGGAGATACGAGACCTGACCCTGAAAGAGAGACGTCAGTACCAACGAGCCATCAGGAGACTCTACGCACAGCCAGGTACACCTGTGTACAGCTAACTCCCAACTACATTTAGCTAGTTACACCTGTGTACAGCTAACTCCCAACTAGCTAGGTTCACCTGTGTACAGCTAGTCTGCACTAGGTACACCTGTATAGCTAACTTCCAACACAGCCAGGTACACCTGTGTACAGCTAACTCCCAACTACATTTAGCTAGTTACACCTGTGTACAGCTAACTCCCAACTAGCTAGGTTCACCTGTGTACAGCTAACTCCCAACTAGCTAGGTACACCTGTGTACAGCTATAGTGAGCTCCAAAAGTATTGGGACAGTGACACATTATTTGCTGTTTTGGCTCTGTACTCCATCACTTTGGATTTGAAATGATACAATGACTATGAGGTTAAAGTGCAGACTGTCAGTTTAAATTTATTTTCATCCATATTGGTAGACTGTTTAGAAATTACTGCACTTTTTGTATCATGATGAGTGAGAACGTTACAGACACACACATATCATACCCCCCCAATTATGCTAACCTCCCCTGTTATTGTAATAGTGAGAGGTTAAGAGCATTGTGTCAGTAACTGAAAGGTCACTGGTTCTAATCCCCGAGCCGACTAGGTGAAAAATCTGTCAATGTGCCCTTAAGCAAGGCACTTAACCCTAATTGCTCATGTAAGTCGCTCTGGATAAGAGCGTCTGCTAAATGACAAAAAAAATATATATATATTCTATTCTTATTTAACAATAAAAGTTACTCCAAAATGACACAATACATTATTTACCATTCATTTATATTGGGCACAAAATAATCTGAAACATGACCAAAACAAACAGCAAATGCATCCAAGCTTGATGTAGCCATTGTGTGCTATGAATATGGGACCAAATACTTAACTTTTTACTACTTTAATACACATGTAAATGAATTTGTCCCAGTACTTTTTGTCGTCTAAAATGGGGGGACTATGTACCAAAAGTGCAGTTCTTTCTAAACGGTTCAACCGATATAGATGAAAATAACTTCAAATTAAAGCTGACAGTCTGCACATTAACCTCAGTCATTGTATCATTTACAATCCAAAGTGCTGGAGTACAGAGCCAACTACAAAAATTCACTGTCCCAATACTTTTGGATCTCACAACTAGCTAGGTGCACCTCAGGGTTTCCGTTAGCTAGGAATAACCGGCTTTTGGTCCCCCCCAAAAAATGAAAAGCTGATAAATAAAACTGCCGCCGGTCAAATTTGTTTTGCCTATTCATTGATGGAAATACCAGTCAATGGAAATACATTTAACCAGTCATGCTTATCGGTCTATAGGGTCATTTACATAATTTAGTGGAATTAAATTGGTGCGTCGTTATGTTTATCACACATGCACAGCATACAGATACAGAGCCTATGAGTGGAAAATCTGTCAGACAGTGCGAGCTGCTGCTACAGCTCCTCAAACAGCTCATTCGTTACTGCTAGAGTGAAACATGCTTTTATAAGCCCAATCATTGCGCAACAATTCTAAATTCAATCGCGTGTTAAAAACAGTTTTGATGGCCACGATTAAAAAGAGCTACTATTTACATTTCTCAACTGGTAATTGAAGCACGCTTCCCATTCGCTATTCAAGTGCAGACACAACGGTAGGCAGGCTTCAGCACATCACACACCAACTTACAATGTGCTAGAGGCAGTATGCATTTTGAACACATATACTTAATTGTTTGAAACCTGAACATTAATATTATGAGGCATGTCTTGCCTTTCTTCAAACTAAAATCTGACCATAGAAACGTGGAGGCAATTATTTTATAAAGACTTCCATATGCCGTTGACACCAGTAGCCTATTTGTCTCATGTTCTATTGGTTTTCAAATCAACTTTCTTTCATTGTCCGGTAGCCATAGACACAATCCTAGTCATATTAGCAACCAATGCTAGTTGTTGCATCTTTAGATCTCCTGTCTTTCTAAATTTCTAACAGATATTTTCATCTGTCACATAAAACCACTCACATGTGCAGTGAGCTTTTGACAACAGTGTTTTCCTGCAAATTGCATTATGTAAAGAACATTCGCGACTGAAAACAACAAGATAACTAATGTAAAATATACTGTGTCCATAAAGTATATATACTGTAGGTTCAGAACTTTTGTGAAACAGCAGAGATAGATGGGAGGGGTTGACGGTAACTGAAGGATGGGATTAAAAACAAACAAAAGATAACTATTGTAAAATACATTGTGTCCGTAAAATGTACAGTCGTGGTCAAAAGTTTTGAGACACAACTATTGGTCTTCACAAAGTTTGCTGCTTCAGTGTTTTTAGATATTTTTGTCAGATGTTACTATGGTATACTGAAGTATAATTACAAGCATTCCATAAGTGTCAAAGGCTTTTATTGACAATAACATTAAGTTTATGCAAAGAGTCAATATTTGCAGTGTTGACCCTTCTTTTTCAAGACCTCTGCAATCCGCCCTGGCATGCTGTCAATTAACTTCTGGACCACATCCTGACTGATGGCAGCCCATTCTTGCATAATCAATGCTTGGAGTTTGTCAGAATGTGTGTAACCTACTGCCTTGTGTGGATTGCTGCGCTTATAATATGAAGAAATAATAGTTTATCAACATTTTAAGCTAAACGATCTGATCCGTTGCATCAGCCTCATTGCTTTTTCAAGTTTTCTTTTATGTAGCCTAGGCCTACTGATTATATGATTTTGGGATCTATCGTCCCACAACTGTCCCAGAGTCTGTTTGGAATCGGCTATTTCTTTCTCATACAGAACAACAAGCTGACCAATAGAATAGGTAAACTTTTCTCCTATGGGGGATATTAGATCGACATAGGCTAGTGATTTTGCTGTTCGTTACTCATCGTGTTGGCTGAGGAAAAGTAAATGTGGCAGTTATTCTAACATCTTCAAAGTGCTCATCAGAATTCCGTAAGAAGGACACCGCCGTTGCATCTTCTAGTTGCATGTTCTGTTAAGATGAATAAACATAATCTAAATGTGATTTCTGTCATTCTGAGCATCGTGGGTGGACGTCCTAATCAGGTTACGCACCGAACGGAAACCCTGGTACACTTGTACAGCTAACTCCCTAGCTAGCTAGGTACACCTGTATAGCTAACTCCATACTACCCTGGTATATCTTTACAGCTTTTAAATTAAAATGCTGCCGGTCAAATGTCCGGCGTCACATCTTCCTAACGGAAACCCTGGTACACCTGTACAGCTAACTCCCTAGCAAGCTAGGTACACCTGTATAGCTAACTCCCTACTAGCTAGGTACACCTGTATAGCTAACTCCCTACTAGCTAGGTACACCTTTATAGCTAACTCCCTACTAGCCTGGTATACCTTTACAGCTAACACTAACTCTAATAACCAGCTGCACCTGTTCAGCTTACTCTACTAGCTAGATACACTTGTATAGCTAACTCTACTAGCTAGATACACTGTACAGCTTACTCTACTAGCTAGATACACGTGTACAGCTAACTCTCTACTAGCCAGGTACACATGTACAGCTAACTGAGATTTGTTCTCTCTGATACCTTAGATCAGTCTTGTTTTCATGTTGGTTTTTGTGTAGGTGTATGGGACGGTTTCACCAAGCTGAGAGCTGAGTTCTCCCCTCAGGCTGGTGGCCACACCTACTTCCTGCCCTGGCAGCGCTACTTCCTGCGGGTGGTGGAGCAGGAGCTCCAGGCTGTGTCGTCATGCCAACTGGGTGTTCCGTACTTCGAGTGGACGGTCGACTCTGGTGATCTTTTGACCTCAGCTGTCTGGCAGGCCGAGATGTTTGGAGGGGACGGAGAGAGGGAGAGGGATGGCGAGAGGGAAAGGGATGAAGAGAGAGAGAGGGATGGAGCGAGTGAGGGGGATGGAGAGCAAGAGAGCAACTCTGTCTCAGGCTGTGTCCCCCACCACTCCTTCCAGGGCTTGTCTGCACGGTTCCGCTGGTCCCCCTGTCTACGACGGAGCTTCAACACCTCGGTTAGCCTCATGATTTTACAATTTTCCTCATGTTTAAGGCTGTATACACTATGAAAGGATTACTGTATGTCATTGCTAAAGGTCATTAAAGTGATCTTTATTTGTCTGTCATGTTTTCCTCTGACGTTGTCCCTTGGTCTCAGCAGGTGTCTGTGCCTGACGCGGTGAGCGTCCAGAGGCTACTGTCCCAAGGGAACTTCCTGTTGTTCTCCCAGGCTCTGCAGGGGCTGTCTGGGCTATTTAGGCTCTGGGTGGGGGGCCACATGGCCTCTCCTCTGGCCGCCTACGATCCCCTCTACCTCTCACACGCCGCTTTCATCGACAAGCTCTGGACACACTGGCAGGACAGGCACAGAGACGTGCACACTCACGAAGAAGCTCATAGGCACACTCACGTACACACACAGTACCCGGTGAGGCAGCGTCACGTGAAGATGAAGCCGTTCGGCATTGCTCCTGATGATGTGATGTCTTCACGGGAACAACTGTGTGTGGTGTACGTACCCATAACCCTCGGAGCTCCCTGTAATGTGACATCATCACTCCGTGCCGAAAGAGGGAAGGGCCGCCGCAGAGCAGCGAAAGACACTGCCAGCTATCACAGAAAGAGACAAGATACACACAACAACCATATACACAGCACCTATGATTACAACGCACAAGGCTATGATGGCTTTGACCACAGTGGTTACAATCGCAATGGATATGACAGACAAGGTTTCAACCGCATGGGCTGGGACCTGCTTGGTTATAGTAGGGATGGTTTGGACCGTGACCACATCGACAGAGAGGGCTATGACATTTCTGGATACAACCGCTATGGGTTTAACCGCCAAAATGTTACATGGTTCGGGATGCGCTGGGATGGATTGTTTATGAGGGAGGAAGAGAGAGAAGAGGAGAGTCAGGGGGAGAAAGAGAAGGAGAGTGAGGTGAGAGAAGAGGAGAGTGGAGAGAAGGAGGAGAGAGAACGAGAGAAGGTTATGTCAGAGCTCTTTAGCGACAGTGGCTACAGTGTTTATGGTTTTGACCCCTTTGGTTTGGACCGGGGTGGTTTTGATGCGTTTGGCTTTCGACCAGACGGTTACGATAAGGACAGCTGTAACTGGTTCTACAACGGACCGCACTACCTACGGTTCTACTACCACACCCAACAGCAGCTCATTTCAGCCAATCAACACACTCTTAACCACATTACAAGAATCTGCCCTCCAATCACAGCCCTGCCTCAGCACTGGCCTTTGCAGGATTGGATGGCTCTGGACCCAGAGGAGAGCCAAGCCCTGATTGGTCAGCTGGAGCGGGAGTGGGCGGGACAGAAGCGTTCTGATGACGACTACACCCACAAGATGATGTCACAGAGGGGACGTGGCATTTGGCTGCCGATCACCCCAGACAGCAGGTAACCATTGGTCAATTAGAGAGGTGATGTAAACAGTAGCCAATGAGTAGTGAGTAGATCGCTTTACAGTAGAAGTTGTTCTTGTATCTTCTCATAGGTTTGTGTGTGTGTTGTAGGTTTTGTTTTGAACTACACTGGTTCTCCGGTTGTCCTCTTGGCTCTGCCCCCATGACCTGCCCTGACCTCTGCCGTGAAGCACGTTGTCTTGGTAACCCGATGGCTGAGTGTCGTTTGCGGAACTGTGGCTCCTGCTTCACTGAGTGGCTTGACCCAACCACCGGAGCATACGTCATCTGCCAGGGCTGGTAACCAATGCTGACCGGCGCCCATGTCATTCAGCGTAGTGGAAGATGACTAGAAAATGCTTTTTTGTCATGAAAAACCAATGCAGTTCGACATTAGAGCCTTCATGAGGGGTTGTAGTGATAACCACGGCAAGTTACCAAGACTGGTTACCAAGTCTGGAGATAGGACACTTTTCTCTTGCTGGAATACACTTTGTGCTGGATTGGAACTAAAGCCTGCACACCCTGTATCTTTCCAGGACTAAGCTGGAACTAAAGCCCGCATTCCCTGTAGCACTTCCTTTGAACATTTAACTGAAGTAGGATATATTTAGACATCAGGAGGTGTAATCAATGTACCACACTGTATTCGATAAAGCGAGTGAATGTTTCTAGTGTTCTTTGTTGCTGCTTTACACTCTTCATCTATTAAGCTGTTTACCCACCACATGATATCCCCCCCCCCCCCCCCCACACACACACAGTACCCCGGTATTCGTAAAATGTGTCATTGTTCTATCATGTTCTCTACATAAATGAAAAGGTTACTTTTCAAACAAGTTCCATCTCCACACACACACAAATACAGACAGTAGGCCGGTATATGTGGAATGGGTCTCTGTTCTGTCATGTTCCCTATAGAAACGACCCTGTTGGAATGTACTGTAAACATGAAATTATGCCTTCAATCTCTCTGTCTCTCCCACCCTCTTTCTCTCTCCGTCTTCTCTTCATTTCTCTCTCTCTCTGTCCATCCCTCACACTCTCATTCCTACCTCTCTCTCTTTTCTCCTGTCTTAATCAGTCTTTTTTTTTCTTTCCCCCGCCTCTCTGTCTACTGTCTTTGTCTCCTCTGGTTTCTTTCCCCCTCTCTCTCTTAATTGTTTCTGATGGCATCCAGCCAACACACACACAGTCAGTCACTTTTATGCAGACACAAACACTCACTCATACACTCTTTGATCTTTCTGCGTTGGCCTGCATGCTCGGATGAGTGGCGGAAATGCTTCCTGGCACAGTTGGTGGGCAGCCTCACACACGCACGCACGTACACACACACATACACACACACACACACACAAACTGTTACTCTGACAAGTCAATCGTGTGTTAATGTACTCACCGGGACAGTCTCTAACTCTGTACCACCGCAGGCCCCTCTGTTTATGGTCACAGCCGTAAAACATCTGTGTGTGTGTGTGTGTGTGTGTGTGTGTGTGCATGTGTGGGTGTCTATGTGTGTGCTATATGAGCAGCATTCTGTTGTGTCATTACTAAAGAGGAAAGCCAGATGTTCTCCTAACTGACCTGGAGAGAGAGGGAGGGAGAAAGAGGGAGGGGGAGGGAGAGAGGGAGGGGGAGGGGGAGAGGGAGGGAGGGGGAGGGGGAGAGGGAGGGAGGGAGGGAGGAGGGAGAGGGAGGGAGGGAGGGAGGGAGGGAGGGAGGAGGGAGAGGGAGGGAGAGAGAGAGGGAGGGAGGGAGGGGGAGGGAGAGATAAAACACACTCCAGTAACCAGGGTATTATTTCTTCTTAGATAGGTCTGATTGTTTGTCAGATTAGTAGATACAGCTGACAACTAGACACTGATCCCCCGCCCCCCTCCTCAGCCCACTACCCCAGTATACCTTAAACACATCCATCATATACACACACGTACTTGCTAGCGTACACACACAAATGTGTGTGGACATAGACAGATACGAGTACATTTAACACACATACACACACCTCCCTAACCTCTCTCTCTTTCTGTCTGTAGGGTGTAAGTTGGACGGTCGTCCCTATAATTCCTCTATCAACACCATCGATGGCTGCCAGACCTGCACCTGCAAGGTGAGTATGTCTGCCATACACTGACACACAGGTACATACAGTACGTACCAACATACACTTACATACGTTGACTAAATGGTGATTCTTTGCTCTCTCTTTCTGTGGGTTGCGCTAGGAGGGTAGTATGGTGTGTTCCCCCCCTTCCTGCCCCCCCGTCGACTGCTCTGAACAGGAGACACTTCATGGAGAGTGCTGCCCTAGCTGTAGAGGTTTGTATAATTCATACACTCTGTCAGAAGAAATGGTGTGTTCTTATTACTGACATATGCATTTATTTGTGATGGGGTGTCTGTAGGTTGTATCCATACAGGCATCCGTTACCACCACAGAGCTAAATGGAGACCATCAGAAAACCCCTGTAGTCTCTGTTACTGTCTGGTGAGTCTCTCTCTCTCGCTCTTTTTCTCTCGCTCTTTCTCTCGCTCTTTCTCTCTCGTTCTTTCTCTCTCTCTCTTTTTCTCTCTCTCTCATCCTCTCTTTCTCCTTCTTTCTCTCTCTCTTTTGCTCTTTCTATTTCTCATAATCCTCTAGAGATGGCTTCATGTGCTGACAGGAATTTACTTTTACTGTAGATTAATTTCCTGACCTTTAACTTTTGCCAGGAGGGTGTTGTTAAATGTGAGACAGAGAGGTGTAGCCCTCCATGTCGGAACCCCGCCTCCCCACCACCCAATACCTGCTGCCCAGTCTGCCATGGTGAGACACCCGCTTTGCATGTGCGTGTGTGTGTGTGTGCGCGCGCATGTGTGTGTGTGTGTGTGTGTGTGGAATTGAGTATACAGTGACAGTGTGTGTTTATGTGTGTTTCAGGTTGTGGAATGAATGGCCAGGACTTCCTGAATGGAGCCCAGGTCCCTAGTGTAGACCGCTGTCAGGAGTGTGTGTGTGTGGTAAGACTTTGAGAGAGCTCTGTCTCTGTAAGTCGCTCTGGATAAGAGCGTCTGCTAAATGACTAAAATGTAAATGTAAATGTATGTCAAATATTTGTGCATACAGTATGTCTAAAACGGACTCTGAAGTGTGTGTGCGTGTTTCTCGTCTCTCTCTCTCTCCTCAGAATGGAGATGTCCACTGCTCGCCTCGACCCTGCCCCGCCGTTTCCTGTCCGAACTCTGTCCGTCGCCCCGGAGACTGTTGCCCACGGTAGCACACACATAAAGCCTCCAGTATCATAGCTGTAGTAGCACATGTAGTTAAAAATGCATCACCTTTCGCCTGTGTGTGTTATAGGTGTGAGCAGTGTGAGTATGACTCTCAGGTGTTGATGTTCCCCTCCAGGACAGATCCCTGTTTCCGCTGCCATTGCTCTGTGAGTACTGACTATGTGTGTGGATGTGTTCAAGTCGGGAATCAGTATGGCCACAACAAAAAAGTGACATATTGGAAGTATATGAATAGGCTGTTGAGGTGTCATTTGATGTGTTTCTCTCTCTCCTATAGGCTGGAAAGTTGTCATGTGATATGTTTCTCTCTTACCAATAGGCTGGAGAGGTGTCATGTGAGCGTATGGATGCATCATGTCCTCCTCTGCGTTGTAGCCACCCTGCCAAGCCTAGAGGACAGTGCTGTCCCACCTGTGATCGTGAGTTCAGCCGTCCGCAGTCTTCACACTCTATCTTCTAACCTTCACCACTATCTACCCCATCGGATCTCTTTGTGTGTGTGTCTTTGCAGAATGTGAGTACGAGAGGAGAGTCTACGTTAATGGTAACGTTTTTAACCCAGCTGGAAGTGGACCTTGTGTCCAGTGCAGCTGCAAGGTGGGTCTGAACACACACATAGATATACAGTGGGGGAAAAAGTATTTAGTCAGCCAACCAATTGTGCAAGTTCTCCCACTTAAAAAGATGAGAGAGGCCTATAATTTTCATTATAGGTACACGTCAACTATGACAGACACACACATTCATGCACATACTAATGAACAATACGTAAGTTCTCAGTGTGTGTGTGTGTGTATCAGGGTGGAAATGTGAGGTGCCAAGAGGAGAGGTGTCCTCCGGTCCAGTGTTCCAACCCCATCATCGACCCCCAGTTCTGCTGCCCCATCTGCAATGGTACCACACACAACTGAATATTATTTTGCAACAATAATAACTTCCTATACATACAGAGATAAAGACAGGAATATATCTTAACTTTATCAATCCTTCACCCCCCTCTCTCTATAGTGTGTGTGTTGGAGGGGTTGGAGTATGAGGAGGGTTCTCAGTGGCAGGCTGAGGGCTGCTCCAGCTGTACCTGTCTAAACGGAGAAGTGGTGTGTACACACACACACTGTCCCCCCACCGCCTGCACACACCCCACCAAGACCACCGGTAAGACTGTGTGAGTGTGCATGTCTGTCTATGTGTATTTATTTGAAATGGCTATCTTTCTTTTCCATTCTTCCATTCTATTGTCTTTTTCCTCTCTCTCTAGGTTCGTGCTGTGCAGAGTGTGAGCGCTGTACCTTCAACCAGCGTATCTATAGAAACAGACAAACCTTTACACACCCCGACCAGCCCTGTCATACCTGCACCTGTCTGGTGAGAGGACACACACACAGGCAAACATACACACAAACATAACATACTGCAACATAGAATTGCATAACATGGTCCTACCCCCCACTCCCCAGGACGGTACAGTGCAGTGTGTGAGGAGAGCCTGTCCCCCCCTGAACTGTTCCAACACACACACACCGCATAGAGAGTGCTGCCCTAAATGCCCAGGTACTCTTCGCCTAAAACACACACACATATATTAACCTTGTAAATGCAAAACACATGGGTTTTCTAAGTGTATTTCTGCCTGTGTGTTTGTTCCAGACTGTTCCTTTGAGAATCGTGTGTTTGTGGACGGCGAGGCGTTCCCCAGCCCGGTGAGTGTGTGTGAGGAGTGTGTGTGTGTGTCAGGGAGGGTCAACTGCCACGCATCAGAATGCCCCCGGCCTCACTGCACCACCCCCCTCCCAGGGACCTGCTGCCAGAACAACTGTAACGGTACACACACACCCACACACACAGACACAGACATACACAGACATACACACACGTGGGCATACACACACACACATATATATAGTGTCAAAACATGTCTAAGTAAATAACACCCTTTTTGCAGGGTGTAGCTACGCTGGGAAAGAGTACCCCAACGGACAAGAGTTCCCCCATCCCACTGACAACTGCAGGACCTGCCACTGTATAGTAAGAACACACACAACACCACCATCAATGTTGAGGGTTATCCGTAATCCAGTGTTTTGCCCATTCTAAAATTGCCATCCTACTGTAGCTCAAGGTTTGTGTGACAGTCCCGTGTGCCTACAACCATGAAACTGTTCAAATCAAATCAAATCAAATCAAATTGTATTTGTCACATGCGCCGAATACAACAGGTGAAATGCTTACTTACAAGCCCTTAACCAACAATGCAGAAAATAAGTGTTAAGTAAAAAATAGATAACTAAAAAATAAAAATAACAAGTAATTAAAGAGTAGCAGTAAAATAACAGTAGCGAGGCTATAAACAGAGGGTACCGGTGCAGAGTCAATGTGCAGGGGTTAGTCGATGTAATTGAGGTAATACAGTTGAAGTCGGTAATGTACAAACACCTTAGCCAAATAAATGTAAACTCCGTTTTTCACAATTCCTGACATTTAATCCTAGTAAAAATTCCCTGTTTTAGGTCAGTTAGGATCACCACTTTATTTTAAGAATGTGAAATGTCAGAATAATAGTAGAGAATGATTTATTTAAGCATTCTTTCATCATATTCCCAGTGGGTCAGAAGTTTACATACACTCAATTGGTATTTGGTAGCATTGCCTTTAAATTGTTTAACTTGGGTCAAATGTTTCGGGTAGCCTTCCACAAGCTTCCCACAATAAGTTGGGTGAATTTTGTCCCTTTCCTCCTGACAGAGCTGGTGTAACTGAGTCAGGTTTGTAGGCCTCCTTGCTAGCACACGCTTTTTCAGTTCTGCCCACACATTTTCTATAGGATTGAGGTCAGGGCTTTGTGATGGCCACTCCAATACCTTGACTTTGTTGTCCTTAAGCCATTTTGCCACAACTTTGGAAGTATGCTTGGGGTCATTGTCCAGTTGGAAGACCCATTTGCGACCAAGCTTTAACTTCCTGACTGATGTCTTGAGATGTTGCTTCAATATATCCACATAATTTTCCTTCCTCATGATGCCATCTATTTTGTGAAGTGCACCAGTCCCTCCTGCAGCAAAGCACCCCCACAGAATGATGCTGCCACCCCCCCGTGCTCCACGGTTGGGATTGGTGTTCTTCGGCTTGCAAGCTACCCCCTTTTTCCTCCAAACATAACGATGGTCATTATGGCCAAACAGTTCTATTTTTCTTTCATCAGACCAGAGGACATTTCTGCAAAAAGTACGATATTTGTCCCCATGTGCAGTTGCAAACCGTAGTCTGGCTTTTTTATGGCGGTTTTGGAGCAGTCGCTTCTTCCTTGCTGAGTGGCCTTTCAGGTTATGTCGATATAGGACTCGTTTTACTGTGGATATAGATACTTTTGTACCTGTTTCCTCCAGCATCTTCACAAGGTCCTTTGCTGTTGTTCTGGGATTGATTTGCACTTTTCACACCAAAGTATATTCATCTCTAGGAGACAGAACGCGTCTCCTTCCTGATCGGTTTGACGGCTGCGTGATCCCATGGTGTTTATACTTGCATACTATTGTTTGCACAGATGAACGTGGTACCTTCAGGCATTTGGAAATTGCTCCCAAGGATGAACCAGACTTGTGGAGGTCTACAATTTTTTTCTGAGGTCTTGGCTGATTTCTTTTGATTTATTCCCATGATGTCAAGCAAAGAGGCACTGAGTTTGAAGGTAGGCCTTGAAATACATCCATAGGTACGCCTCCAATTGACTCAAATGATGTCAATTAGCCTATCAGAAGCTTCTACAGCCATGACATCATTTTCTGGAATTTTCCAAGCTGTTTAAAAGCACAGTCAACTTAGTGTATGTAAACCTCTGACCCACTGGAATTGTGATACAGTGAATTATAAGTGAAATAATCTGTCCGTAAACAATTGTTGGAAAAATTACTTGTCTCATGCACAAAGTAGATGTCCTAACCGACTTGCCAAAACTATAATTTGTTAACAAGAAATTTGTGGAGTGGTTGAAAAAAGAGTTTTAATGACTCCAACCTAAGTGTATGGGTGAGCAGTTGCCATACGCTCTACCCTCTGTAGTGCCTTGCGGTCGTAGGTCGAGCAGTTGCCATACCAGGCAGTGATGCAACCAGTCAGGATGCTCTCAATGGTGCATCTGTAGATCTTTTTGAGGACCCATGCCAAATCTTTTCAGTCTCCTGAGGGGGAATAGGCTTTGTCATGCCCTCTTCATGACTGTCTTGGTGTGTTTGGAAAGGCCCATACCTTGTGTGTGTTGTAGAATGGTAACGTCCAGTGCTTGATGAGGAGGTGTCCACCGTTGGGGTGCTCCAACCCCAACCTGCTGCCTGGAGAATGCTGCCCCCAATGCCCAGGTACGCAACTACAGGCAGGGACAAAGATTGAGTAATTGAAATTAAAAGTAAATGTATTATTTTATGTCATAAATGATTCTATGTGTCTGTGCAGCCCCCCCTGCTGACTGTGTATATGAGGGTCGGCCCTACAGACACACTGAGCGTTTCTATGACCCCGCTGACCCCTGTCGATCATGCCTCTGCACCAATGGGACGTCTCGATGCCAGCGCAAGCCCTGCCCCCTTGCTCACTGCTCACACCCCATACAGCAGGAGTGCTGCAGGACCTGCGACGGTACGACACTTCTACATAACATGACATTATACTTCATACAGCCTGCATAGCATGACATTGCACTTCACACAGCCTACATAACATGACATTGCACTTCATACAGCCTACATAACATGACATTACACTTCATACAGCCTACATTACATGATATTACACATACAGCCCACGTGTGTGTTTCAGGCTGTCTGTATGAGGGTCGGGAGCGGGCCAACGGGGAGTCATGGGGTGATGTGTCGGACCCGTGTGGAGTGTGTGTGTGTCGCGAGGGTTCCGTCCACTGTGAGAGGAAACGTTGCCCTGCTGTCAGCTGTCCCTACCCCATACAGAGAGAGTGCTGCCTAGCCTGTGATGGTGAGACACCTTGTGGGATACGGTGTGTGTGTCTTTGTGTGTTTGTCTGTGTCTGTTTGTCTAAATCAGTCCCTGATTAGAGGGGAATGATTAAAACCCTTCTCTCCACCCTTCTCTCGCTCTCTCTCTGCAGGCTGTATGTATGGGGGTAAGGAGTATCCTGATGGCTATGAGTTTCTCAGTGGAGAGGACCCGTGTCGAGTGTGTACGTGTTACGCAGGTGATGTGGTGTGTAGCCAGCTACCCTGCTACCAGGACTGCACACACCCCTACAAACCACCCGGCCAGTGCTGCGGAGAGTGTAACCGTGCGTACACACACACACCTCATACCCACACCATATCTCAGTGTTCCTCTAAGTAACATATTTACAATGTTTCTCCTTTAGACATGGTTTCTATGGCAATTTCTTCCTGTGACAGGTTGTTCCCATGGCAATGTGGTCCTCATCAGCAGCCAGTCCATCCCTGACCCCACTGACCCCTGCTCAGAGTGTACCTGCCAGGTAACACACTATTCAGTGTTTAATACACAATGGAAAGAAAGTATACCCAAACAAGCATCAGCTAAGCTTGAACAAAAAGGGATTCAGGTGCTCAACTGAGGGACTTGAAAATCCCCCAAATAAGTATTATCCCAGTACACTTCGACGGGTGACTGTCCAGGAAAATAAAGGAAAAGGAGCACTCTGTTTCTGCATAGATCTGATTATTTATTGACGGGACATACATTCAGGCTTACGTTTCGGCGTAATCGCCTTCATCAGACACCTATTTGTACTTTGTATGTGTAACTGTAACTTTATTTTTCTCTTTCTCTCGCTCTCCCTCCCGCTCTCTCTCCTCTCTATATCTCTCTCTCTCTCTGTCTGTAGGGTGGATCAGTGAGGTGTGTGAAGATGTTGTGTCCTCCAGCCTCCTGCTCTCATCCTGCCACCAGCCCCTGTGGCTGCCCCGTGTGTGACGGTACTCTACCCACTATAACATGTCTGTCTGTCTGTCTTTCTGTCTGACAGTGACATTAATGTTTTTGTTATGTGTGTATGTCTGCCTGCCTGCCTGTGTGTGTGTGTGTGTGTGTGTGTGTGTGTGTGTGTGTGTGTGTAGGCTGTGTGTTCAAGGGCGGAGCTTACGTTGATGGACAGGTCTTCCCTGGAACCAGAGGAACCTGTGATGACTGCACATGCTCAGTAAGTGGTCAAGTGTCAGGGTCAGAGTTCAGGGTGGGGTCAAAGTTAAATGGCTGCGTTGCCTAATTCTCTGCAATCCTCTTTCTGCACATGTGCGAGATTCTCTACTTTACTACTCCTTCCGCTGCCGCAGCATATCAAACACAAGCAGGACTCAGACAGGCAGTCTATATAGCGATGTAATGCTCTTTTTTAAAATCATCATTGCAAACATTGCCTAAGCAGGAAGCAGACAGGGAGTCAAAGTATTAGTGTTCTTTTTTCAGTTTTTAACAGTTGTATGTTATTTGTGGTTAAAACGCAGATTGTTTTTGCCCCAAAGCAGTGTGTAGACTGCACTGTAAAGCCGGATAAGTTCTGGCTACTCATTGAGGAAACCGATTACCTAAACAAAAAATAGTTAAGAAAGTGAAACAGCTGAAGTGAGCAGTACTACCTTCATAGTTTTTTGATTAAGGTATACTTAAATTGAATGCCCCCACTAAGCCACGACTCCAATAATTTCCCAGTGTGCTTTGCCTTTTCGATTGAATTGTAGAGTTACCACCCATGACTGTATTTGTTCTTGACAGAGACATGGTTGTTGTATTCGTTCATTTAGTCCTGTGGCCTTCACCAAGTGAGTTCCTAGGTGAATATTATCAGTATAATTTAACCATTACATATATCATAAGGCCTTATACAGTGGCCTGAAACTCATAGTTTACAGCCCACATCAGGCCTGCAAGTAGGGTTGCAACATTCCACAAACTTTCCCCAAAACTATTCCAGTAATCTTCCAACCAGGAGTTCTGGAAAACCTGGGAAATGTACCATAATTTTGCAACCCTAACTGTAAAACACATTATGCTGGCTTTCAGTAACGGGTGCAAAAATGCAATTATTGGATTAGTTTAGATTTTTTTTGTATCTTTGTGTAGCATAACATTTAATCAATCAATCACTCAATGTACAGTGGGGAAAAAAAGTATTTAGTCAGCCACCAATTGTGCAAGTTCTCCCACTTAAAAAGATGAGAGATGCCTGTAATTTTCATCATAGGTACACGTCAACTATGACAGACAAATTGAGGAAAAAAAATTCCAGAAAATCACATTGTAGGATTTTTAATGAATTTATTTGCAAATTATGGTGGAAAATAAGTATTTGGTCACCTACAAACAAGAAAGATTTCTGGCTCTCACAGACCTGTAACTTCTTCTTTAAGAGGCTCCTCTGTCCTCCACTCGTTACCTGTATTAATGGCACCTGTTTGAACTTGTTATCAGTATAAAAGACACCTGTCCACAACCTCAAACAGTCACACTCCAAACTCCACTATGGCCAAGACCAAAGAGCTGTCAAAGGACACCAGAAACAAAATTGTAGACCTGCACCAGGCTGGGAAGACTAAATCTGCAATAGGTAAGCAGCTTGGTTTGAAGAAATCAACTGTGGGAGTAATTATTAGGAAATGGAAGACATACAAGACCACTGATAATCTCCCTCGATCTGGGGCTCCACGCAAGATCTCACCCCGTGGGGTCAAAATGATCACAAGAACGGTGAGCAAAAATCCCAGAACCACACGGGGGGACCTAGTGAATGACCTGCAGAGAGCTGGGAACAAAGTAACAAAGCCTACCATCAGTAACACACTACGCCGCCAGGGACTCAAATCCTGCAGTGCCAGACGTGTCCCCCTGCTTAAGCCAGTACATGTCCTGGCCCGTCTGAAGTTTGCTAGAGTGCATTTGGATGATCCAGAAGAGGATTGGGAGAATGTCATATGGTCAGATGAAACCAAAATATAACTTTTTGGTAAAAACTCAACTCGTCGTGTTTGGAGGACAAAGAATGCTGAGTTGCATCCAAAGAACACCATACCTACTGTGAAGCATGGGGGTGGAAACATCATGCTTTGGGGCTGTTTTTCTGCAAAGGGACCAGGACGACTGATCCGTGTAAAGGAAAGAATGAATGGGGCCATGTATCGGGAGATTTTGAGTGAAAACCTCCTTCCATCAGCAAGGGCATTGAAGATGAAACATGGCTGGGTCTTTCAGCATGACAATGATCCCAAACACACCGCCCGGGCAACGAAGGAGTGGCTTCGTAAGAAGCATTTCAAGGTCCTGGAGTGGCCTAGCCAGTCTCCAGATCTCAACCCCATAGAAAATCTTTGGAGGGAGTTGAAAGTCCGTGTTGCCCAGCGACAGCCCCAAAACATCACTGCTCTAGAGGAGATCTGCATGGAGGAATGGGCCAAAATACCAGCAACAGTGTGTGAAAACCTTGTGAAGACTTACAGAAAACGTTTGACCTGTGTCATTGCCAACAAAGGGTATATAACAAAGTATTGAGAAACTTTTGTTATTGACCAAATACTTATTTTCCACCATAATTTGCAAATAAATTCATAAAAAATCCTACAATGTGATTTTCTAGATTTTTTTTCCTCATTTTGTCTGTCATAGTTGACGTGTACCTATGATGAAAATTACAGGCCTCTCTCATCTTTTTAAGTGGGAGAACTTGCACAATTGGTGGCTGACTAAATACTTTTTTTCCCCACTGTACATGCAAAACACAGATATTAAAAACAATTCCAAAAATATCAACCTGCAGTATAGCATGTTGTGAGAAAAGTTAATTTGTTATCATATCTTTACAAAATGTAGTTGGTGTGACTTCTCATTTAGTTTTGAGTCAGTACCACATAAACATTTCAAGTAATAATTACTTTTCATTGACTTTGAGTACAACTTACTACAAGTGTTTGAGTAAAAAATGCCTTGGGGTTTACAGTGTGGGTCCTGATTGTGCTACTGCAATATCCTTAGTTACAACAGAAAGAGAAAGTTGAAACCTACATCCTAAATTTGCCTACAAAATATATATATATATTTTTGGAATGTTCGTTCAAATCGCCTCAGATTTATGTCGGCTGTTCAGAAATATGAGGCAGAGACGTAGGCTACATCAGGGTTTCCCAAACTCGGTCCTGGAGCCCCACCTGGGTGCATGTTTTGTTTTTTGCCCTAGCACTACATAGCTGATTCAATTAACCAATTCATAATCAAGCTTTAATTATTTGAATCCGCTCTGTAGTGCTAGGGCAAAAAACTAAACGTGCACCCAGGGGGGTTCCCATGACGAGTTTGGGAAATCCTGGGTTACATCATCATGTCGATCAAATTGGTTGATAGGAAGGGTTCAGAAGAGGGTGAGTAATGTGAAGGGAGGGTGATGTTTACAGTGAGGGAAAAAAGTAAGTTTGCCCACTGACAAAGACATGATCAGTCTATAATTTTAATGGTAGGTTTATTTGAACAGTAAGAGACAGAATAACAACAAAAAATTCCAGAAAAACGCATGTCAAAAATGTTATAAATGGATTCGCATTATAATGAGGGAAATAATTATTTGACCCCTCTGCAAAACATGACTCAGTACTTGGTGGCAGAACCCATGTTGGCAATCACAGAGGTCAGACGTTTCTGTAGTTGGCCACCAGGTTTGCACACATCTCAGGAGGGATTTTGTTCCACTCCTCTTTGCAGATCTTCTCCAAGTCATTAAGGTTTCGAGGCTGACGTTTGGCAACTCGAACCTTCAGCTCCTTCCACAGATTTTCTATGGGATTAAGGTCTGGAGACTGGCTATGCCACTCCAGGACTTTAATGTGCTTCTTCTTGAGCCACTCCTTTGTTGCCTTGGTCTTGGGTCATTGTCATGCTGGAATACCCATCCACGACCCATTTTCAATGCCCTGGCTGAGGGAAGGAGGTTCTCACCCAAGATTTGACGGTACATGGCCCCGTCCAACGTCCCTTTGATGCGGTGAAGTTGTCCTGTCCCCTTAGCAGAAAAACACCCCCAAAGCATAATGTTTCCACCTCCATGTTTGACGGTGGGGATGGTGTTCTTGGGGTCATAGGCAGCATTCCTCCTCCTCCAAACAAGGTGAGTTGAGTTGATGCCAAAGAGCTCGATTTTGGTCTCATCTGACCACAACACTTTCACCCAGTTCTCCTCTGAATCATTCAGATGTTCATTGGCAAACTTCAGACGGGGCTGTATATGTGCTTTCTTGAGCAGGGGCACCTTGCGGGTGCTGCAGGATTTCAGTCCTTCACGGCGTAGTGTGTTACCAATTGTTTTCTTGGTGACTATGGTCCCAGCTGCCTTGAGATCATTGACAAGATCCTCCCTTGTAGTTCTGGGCTGATTCCTCACCGTTCTCATGATCATTGCAACTCCACGAGGTGAGATCTTGCATGGAGCCCCAGGCCGAGGGAGGTTGACAGGTCTTTTGTGTTTCTTCCATTTGCGAATAATCGCACCAACTGTTGTCACCTTCTCACCAAGCTGCTTGGTGATGGTCTTGTAGCCCATTCCAGCCTTGTGTAGGTCTACAATCTTGTCCCTGACATCCTTGGAGAGCTCTTTGGTCTTGGCCATGGTGGAGAGTTTGGAATCTGATTGATTGATTGCTTCTGTGGACAGGTGTATTTTATACAGGTAACAAGCTGAGATTAGGAGCACTCCCTTTAAGAGTGTGCTCCTTATCTCAGCTCGTTACCTGTATAAAAGACACCTGGGAGCCAGAAATCTTTCTGATTGAGAGAGGGTCAAATACTTATTTCCCACATTAAAATGCAAATCAATTTATAACATTTTTGACAAATGCGTTTTTCTGGATTTTTTTGTTGTTATTCTGTCTCTCACTGTTCAAATATACCTACTATTAAAATTATAGACTGATCATTTCTTTGTCAGTGGGCAAACGTACAAAATCAGCAGGGGATCAAATACTTTTTTCCCTCACTGTATGTAAAGTAACACACGCGCAGCCTCAGTCAAGAAGTTAGTGTGAAAAATAAAATAATAATTGCTCCATGTCAGTTAGACATCTGATCCAATTAAGTATTTGTGTGTTCATGTTTGCATTGATATGTGTGTGACGGCTGTTGATGCGTTTTCTTGTGTTTGTGTGCGTTTACATTTGTGTGTATGTGTGTGTAGAGAGGAGAGGTAGTGTGTGTGAAGCGGAGTTGTCCTGCTGTGTCCTGTCCACACCCTGCGCTGGACGGTTGTGTGTGCGGTGTGTGTGATGGCTGTCGCTTCAACGGACGAGACTGTTCCAATGGAGAGCGCTTCCCGCACCCCTCAGACCACTGTCAACGCTGCACATGCCTGGTACACACATACACCACAAACTTCATACACACATACACTGTGTCTGTATGTGACCAACCTTCGATACTCCACTGAGATAAAACTTAAGGCTTAGACAGTAATGGGGGCTAACACAAATCTTCAGGTCTCTGGAGAGACACAATGTTATTACTGTATTTGCTCTAGTTTTGGTACATGTTTCTATGTGTATGTGACTGTGTGTAGAACGGTGGTGTGGTGTGTGTGTCAGGGTCGTGCCCGCCCGTGTTGTGTGCGCGTCCTGTGGTCCCTCAAGGGGAGTGCTGCCCCATCTGCAGAGGGGTGTGCCTTTACCAGGGGGAGGAGTTTCAGTCTGGGACTTCCTTCACCCCCCCCACTGACCCCTGCTCCACCTGCAGCTGTCTGGTGAGAATACAGCTTTAACTCTTCCCCCTGTCCCTCCCTCTATCTCTTTGAAGTGTCTGTCTATCCTCTTATATCACTGTTTCCCAGTTGTTCCATATTGTGCTATTCTACACCTCTGTCCCATCTTTCTCTCCCTCCATCTTTCTCGCTCTCTCCCCTCTCTCTCTCTAGAATGAAGTGGTGACGTGTCATAAAAAGCTGTGTCCTGTTCAATGTTCCCACCCCCTCCCCTCTGAATCATCCAATGGCTGCTGTCCACTGTGTGAGGCCTGCCTCTACGGGGGTGTGGTCTACTCTAACAGGTAGGTCTAATTCCACACACACACCCTCTGACGCCCACACACACACACACACACACTGTTACCCACTCACACACCTTCACTGTTACGTCTCGCTCCTGTGACAAGCTGGATGTCTGTAAACACTCTCCTCTCTCCCCTAACAGACAAACCTTCACCCCAGCAGCCACACCCCTCACCCCAGGGCTAGCCAATCCCTGTCAGCGCTGTACCTGTGTGAGGGGGAGTGTCACTTGCGTGCCCCTCCTCTGCCCCCCCACCTCCTGCCCCCAACCAATCACACTGCCAGGAGACTGCTGCCCCCAGTGTGCAGGTAAACCCACAAACTGAATGAAAACATGGAATATCTCATGTTTTCCATCCAACTATTTTGCAGGTTAGGGTGCATTAGAGAATGTTGCTATTAAAATCCCTGTGTGTTTGTTTCTCTCAGTGTGTGTATACCAGGGTGAGGAGTACAGTGAGGGACAGCAGTGGACTCCCAGCTCCAACTTCTGCACTACATGTGCCTGTCAGGTCAGACTATACCTCCTCTCTCTTTCCTGCGTGTGTGTTTGTGCAGGTGTCTGCGGCGTATGTGTGCGTATAATGTGTGTGTGTTTGTTCCAGACAGGGAAGGTGCAGTGTGTGGGTCCAGAGTGTCCTAAGCTGACCTGTATGCATCAGCTGACAGAACCAGGAACGTGCTGTCCTCGCTGCAGAGGTAACACACCAGCTTGGGCTTTGTAGTTGCCTTCCCATATATTTAACAAGTTATAGATTTACACAATTTAGCGCACTCTGTGGACGTAAAATGTTGTGTGTGTGTGTATCTCAGGGTGTGTGTATGACAGAGAGGAGCATGCTGAGGGCAGTAGCTGGTTTGCAGACTCTACTCCCTGTATGAGCTGTATATGTGTGGACGGAGTGACCACCTGCTCGGAGGTCCGCTGTCTGTCCCCCTGCATCAACACCATCACTGTACCTGGGGAGTGCTGCCCTGTGTGTGCAGGTAACTATAATACACACACCCTGTTTACCTTCTGTGTTCCTCTGTTTAGTTCAGTGTCTCTGTGTGTGTTTGGTCAGACTGTGATCAGTGTCTCTCTTTGTGTTTGGTCAGACTGTGATCAGTGTTTCTGTTTCTGTTTGGTCAGACTGTGATCAGTGTCTCTCTTTGTGTTTGGTCAGACTGTGATCAGTGTCTCTGTTTGTGTTTGGTCAGACTGTGATCAGTGTCTCTGTTTGTGTTTGGTCAGACTGTGATCAGTGTCACTGTTTGTGTTTGGTCAGACTGTGATCAGTGTCTCTGTTTGTGTTTGGTCAGACTGTGATCAGTGTCTCTGTGTTTGGTCAGACTGTGTGTTTGAGGGCAGAGTGTACGGTCCAGGAGACAGCTTCCACCCTGCAGATGACCCCTGTCACATCTGCACCTGCGAGGTACTACACACACACACACACACACACACACACACAGCCTTGAGTCTAGATACAGTATTGTAGCAGGTGATGGTGTTGTCATTGTTTCCTGTGTCCAGGTGATGCCGGATGGAGAGCAGCACCTGAGGTGTTACCGTAAGCAGTGTCCCAGCCTGGTGGACTGTCCTAAAAGCAACATTCTGTTCTCTGGACCAGAACCCTGCTGCCCTGTCTGCGCACGTCAGTACACATACACACACACCAGCTTACACACGCACACAAACTCACACACACACACTCTTTCACTCTCTCTCCCTCACTCTAAGACTTCCAGTAACCTGTGTTAGTGATGCGCGGGTTGACTCATAACGGGTTTAGGGTCATGAAATATTGTGTGGATGAAGGGTGGGTGGCGGGCTGGTTGAATAAAGAAAAACAATACCTTAAAAAAATCAGATGTATCAAATGTACAGTTGAAGTCGGAAGTTTACATACACCTTAGCCAAATACATTTAAAAACTCAGTTTTTCACAATTCCTAACATTTAATCCTAGTAAAACTTCCCTGTCTTAGGTCAGTTAGGATCACCACTTTATTTTAAGAATGTGAAATGTCAGAATAATAGTAGAGAATGATTTATTTCAGCTTTTATTTCTTTCATAATATTCCCAGTGGGTCAGAAATGTACATACACTCAATTAGTATTTGGTAGCATTGCCTTTAAATTGTTTAACTTGGGTCAAACATTTCGGGTAGCCTTCCACAAGCTTCCCACAATAAGTTGGGTGAATTTTGTCCCTTTCCTCCTGAGAGAGCTGGTGTAACTGAGTCAGGTTTGTAGGCCTCCTTGCTCGCACACGCTTTTTCAGTTCTGCCCACACATTTTCTATAGGATTGAGGTCAGGGCTTTGTGATGGCCACTCCAATACCTTGACTTTGTTGTCCTTAAACCATTTTGCCACAACTTCGGGAAGTATGCTTGGGGTCATTGTCCATTTGAAAGACCCATTTGCGACCAAGCTTTAACTTCCTGACTGATGTCTTGAGATGTTGCTTCAATATATCCACATAATTTTCCTTCCTCATGATGCCATCTATTTTGTGAAGTGCACCAGTCCCTCCTGCAGCAAAGCACCCCCACAGCATGATGCTGCCACCCCCGTGCTTCACGGTTGGGATGGTGTTCTTCGGCTTGCAAGCAACCCCCTTTTTCCTCCAAACATAACGATGGTCATTATGGCCAAACAGTTCAATTTTTGTTTCATCAGACCAGAGGACATTTCTCCAAAAAGTACGATCTTTGTCCCCATGTGCAGTTGCAAACCGTAGTCTGGCTGTTTTATGGCAGTTTTGGAGCAGTGGCTTCTTCCTTGCTGAGCGGCCTTTCAGGTTATGTCGATATAAGACTTGTTTTACTGTGGATATAGATAATTTTGTACCCGTTTCCTCCAGCATCTTCACAAGGTCCTTTGCTGTTGTTCTGGAATTGATTTGCACTTTTCGCACCAAAGTACGTTCATCTCTAGGAGACAGAACGTGTCTCCTTCCTGAGCGTTATGACGGCTGCGTGGTCCCATGGTGTTTATACTTGCGTACTATTGTTTGTACAGATGAACGTGGTACCTTCAGGTGTTTGGAAATTGCTCCCAAGGATGAACCAGACTTGTGGAGGTCTACAATTTTTTTTCTGAGGTCTTGGCTGATTTATTTTCATTTTCCCATGATGTCAAGCAGAGGCATTGAGTGTGAAGGTAGGCCTTGAAGTACATCCACAGGTACACCTCCAATTGACTCAAATGTTGTCAATTAGCCTATCTGTCACGAGAATTGTGTTATCTCAATGGTTGCAAGCTTTGAATAATTCCCAGAGGGTGTAAGGCTCTGGTTTAATAATGAATTAAACAAAGTCCCGTTCTGCATTAGGTCAGTCTTTTTATTCATGAGAGCTCTGGCGCTAAAAACACACACAGCATTTTATATGCCTTCACACAAAGGAACTTTGCTCCGCCCACCTTTAGGCAGCCTGTGACTTTCCGCAGTATAGCTTTCAGCTGTTTCTAGGTCCCCCCTTACTATGGAATGTTCGCCTCCAACAGTTTCTACCCATCTTCCCTATTAGTGGTTTTATTGTCTTATAACTCTAACACAGTTTACACATTTATACAGTATCGGGATGGAAACACTTTAGTCATAACTTTACACATACAAATCTTCTATCAATCCACCCTTTGACTACATTTTTCACACTCAGGATAAATGTATTTACAAGCATGATTAACCTCAGAGATTAGTTCTATTAACTACTTTCCAATCATAGGTCTTCTTTTTGAGATTTTCCTTATGACCTTCACACGTCAGACCCAATAAAAGTTGTATCTAATTGCAGGTTATCAGGGTCAAAGTCCTCGTTATACACCAAGCCTGGAGGATCGTTTTTCACATTCCACTGGTCAGAGTCTGGAGTCGGTCCATATCTCATCATCTGTTGAGACACTGCATCCTCCAACGCCTTACTGACCAACCCTCGGACACAGGGAATAAGACAACAACCACACAATACAAGCATACCCATACAGGCAATAACTGCCCCCAAAATTGTGGCTACTATGGTTTTCCATTTCCCAAACATTTTATCAAACCATCCGGTCACAGAGGTTTTGATTCCAGAATTCTCAGCCCACTCCTCGCTTAAAGCTGTTAACCCCATCAGAGCTCTTGCCACAGCAACGTCTGGTGCTGTTGTTGGGGATAAATGTGCAACAATGGCCCCCCACCATTCTACAGACACCGCCCTTTTCTGCCAGCAACATATCTAGAGCCAACCTATTTTGCCAAGTCATGAGCGAGGTGGCGGATAATTGATCTGAGATTCCCCTCACTGCATCTCTAGTCTGGTTCACAAACCGTTGTTGGCTGTAATATATATAATGTATCCAATCCACATTTTTATTGATTGTTACCCACCAAAAGAACGTTGTAGTAAATCCTTCCCCTACTTGATTCATAGCTTTGTAGTCTTCTGGTAACCCCCTTGGTATCCCAATTGTATCCATCGAAATAGGGCTATTCTCCTTCTGGTCAAAACTCATCCTACGTCTGTTTAACCCTTTCCTTGGTTTCTGGTGACTAATTCTAACTGGCTGAACCAGTAGAACCGGGGCGCAGGTACCTACCCACCCTTTTGGCATTATCTGCCTTATACAGCCTTTACTGGTACACGCCCACCACACATTGGTTACAGGGGCTGTAAGGTTCAGAATTCTCTCCTGTGCTTCCGAACTGAAGTCAGTCACATTACTACTATTTCCAATTGACAATTCGTGATATCTTTGTTTCTCTTTACCCCCCATCTGGATGTCCAGTCCCGCCCGGTCTCATATCCCCGTCCCCAAGTGTATTTAAACACTTGAGTCCAGGAACAATCCGCCGTGGGGCCCGAACACAAATATGATGGGGGTATTATTCCATTCTGTTGCTTGTTGACATGTACCCCACCCGTTGGCTACGTCCCTAACCCTTATTTTGAATCCTACAGTCTGCCCTTCTCTGACACCTATTTTGTAGGTCACTCGTCCTTGACGGTCGGTATGTCGGGTCGTTTCTCTTTTACTTCTTATCAATGGTGGGGCATAGTATAATTGGTACCGGGAGGTGGTGGATCTTGATGTATCAGGAAGATTGTTAGGACTATGATGCAGCTCAGGGTCCCTCATATTCCCAAGAACCGCCACCCCTCTCCTGCCCTGTCTTTCTGCTTGATACCACCCCATACTCACACCCCTAAGAACACACTACAGTGATGATAGGTCGGGGTAGGAGATCTTCGTTATCAGAGGTGATCCCCGGACCCTATTGGTCCAGTTCTTCTCTCTAACTCTGCGTGTGTTCAATGGTGCTTGTATGTGCTCTCTCTGCTATTCTAATGGCAAAGGCGGTGACTAACAGAACCTGATAGGGGCCTTCCCAACGGGGCAGCTTCCAGTCTTTCTTCTTTAGGGATTGGATCCATACCCAGTCACCTGGTTGGATAGAGTGGGTCACCTTCTCCTTTCGTTCACCTGTGGGGCACAAAACCTTTGACATACGGGTGTGGTTAATAAACAACCTTCTCATGTGTTCGGCTAGGGTGTTCTCAGTTTCTATCGCCGCCTGCTCTGGTCCTCCTAACTCGGGCATTCTGTATGGTCTACCAAATACTTTCTCAAATGGCAATAACCCTTCTTTATCTGGAGTTATCCTGATCGTCATTAATACTATCGGTAGACATTGTACCCAATTTCTTCTTGTGCTCCTGTGTTTTCCTTAACCCCTCTCTAATCATACCGTTCATATTAGCATTTTCTTTCTAGACTGTATCCAAATAGATTTAGTCCTCTAGTTATCTTTAATCCTACCATCTACCATCATCCCCCCTGTTGACACATGGCTCTGCCCATGTGTCAATATTGCCACATCTCTAAACAATCACTTAGGTAAGATTGGTAAATTATCCTTATGCCATATCCCTTCTTTTGAGACTGCCCCTTGCTTCTTTATCGCTCCTTGCTTCTTTATCGCTCCGCCCACTTCCTTTGTCTATTATGGCGGCTAAATTCGACTTCCATTCAGTTCAGAATCAATATTAATACAAACAATCCCTTATCTTGTAAAAACACTCATGTTTAGTTTAAACTCTGTTCAACCCCGGCTCTCCCAGGCTTGACCTGAAGACTGATTGTTGGACATGACAGGTCCATACTTAAATCTTTCAAACATACACAAACCCCACCCCATCATGCTGTAATCAATCAAGAAGATAGCCAAGGAGAGACAAAGGTTTAGCCTGAACTCTGCTCAACCCTGGCCACTTATTCCACTCTGTTTGAGGAGAGAAGCAAAAGGCCACAGTCTGCTTTCAGTCACTGATAACGTAGGACAGCCATGGATTTAAGTAAGAGCGAGTAATTCGACCCTAGGTCAGATTCCCACTTCACCCATACACACACACAGTGAAATGACCCAATTAAGTTATTTGCCTAGCAACAAAGAATTCTAACTCTATGTTCGTGATTAACCCAGTTTTATCTCATAGTCCACTAAAAAATATTCCTCATCACCATGTTTCTGAGTCAAGACCACTGTCATATATCCCTCCCTACAGTCTACCGTTTGGGTAAAGGGCCTGTCATATCTAGGA